TCATTGTACTTCGTTCAGTTACGTATTACTCTGGAAGGGTTCTAATTGTCCACCACCTTGGATAGACCTAGGGGCCAGGCCTGTGGGACCCTATGGGTGCAGTGGTTTATGCTCAACTTATTACTCTGGGTGTTGCGAGTTAAATGTGCACCGCCCATCACATTTTCACCAGTATAATCGCTTTTTTAAAGTAGCGGAGAATAATATCAACTGGAAAATATAAGTTGAGGTGTTGTGCTGACTGATTGCTCTCTTCTCTATTGGCTGTAATTTGGGGGTAAGAGTCCTGTCTTAGTTAAGTAAGGACTTCGGGAGGTGTGTATGTGCAATGTGGCACAACAAACAGTGTGCCATAGGGCTGGGACCTCTAGGAGGTCTCTGGGACCAATAACGTCCTGGAAGGTCTCTCGGGGTGTGGATGCCCCTGGGGTGTCTTTGAGTGCTGCCGTCTCTGGGAGGTCTCTGGGATGGTCCCCAGGAACGTCTGCTGCCACTGGAATGGTCCTGTGCATTCTCTTCAATGAGAGGGACCCCAGATGCTCCACCTGGCCCCTGGGAGGGTCCTGGGGCACCGACCCTGGGGAGGGTTTTCCAGTGCTCCACTGCCCCTGTAACGGTTTCTGGGATGGTCGCTAGAGCTGCGCTGCCCTGGGTAGGTCCTTGCAGGCTCCGCTGCTCAGTCAGGGTCCTGGGGGTACCGTCGCTCCAAAAATGCACAGGCCACTGATGTTGCGAGGGCCTGGGGCACCGTCAGCACTGGTGGGCATCCTGGGGGACGTCGCATCACCTGGGTAGGGTTCTGATATGTCCACCACCCTGAGATGGTCCTGGAGCGCCAGGCCTGCCTAGGACCTATGGGTGCAGTGGTTTATGCTCAATTTATTACTCTGGGAGATGCAACGTTAAATAAATACACCGCCATCACATTTCACCAATGTCATCGCATGTTGAAGAGTTAACGGAGAATAATATCAGCAGGAAGTATAGGTTGGGGTGTTGTGCTGACCGGCTTTGCTCTCCTCCTGTTGGCTGTAATTTGGCGGTTTAAAGTCCACCAATCATAGTTAAGTAAGGAGGACTTCGGGATGTATGTTAATGTAAGAAAATATGACACAACAAACAAGCATGCCATAGGGCCCTAGGACCCTCTAGGTCTCTGGGACCAATAATGTCCTGGAAGGTCTCTCGGGGTGTGCCCCTGGGGTGTGCTTTGAGTTGCTGCCGTCTCTGGGGGTCTCTGGGATGGTCCCGGACGCTCTGCTGCCACTGGAATAGTCCCTGTGCATTCCTCTTCAATGAGAGGACCCAGATGCACCGCCCTGGGAGGGTCCTCAGGGGCGCCACCGACCCTGGGAGGTTTCCGGTGCACCACTGCCCTGGATCGGTTTCTGGGATGGTCGCTGGGGCGCGCCTGGGTGAGGTCCCTGCAGGCTCCGCTGCTCGAGTCAGGGTCCTGGGGTACCGTCGCTCTAAGAATGCACCTGGGTATGCCACTGATGTTGCGGGGCCTGGGGCACCGTCATTACTTGGGACACCCTGGGGCGTCGCGGCACCTGGGAGGGTTCTCATTGTCACACCCCTGGGGTAGGCTGGGGAGCTCGGGCCTGTGGGACTATGGATTTTGATGGTTTATGTGCTCAACTTATTATTCTGGGGAGTCTGCGTTAAATAAATACACCGCCATCACATTTCCACCAGTATAATCGCATTTTAAAAGTAACGGAGAATAATATCAACAGAAAACATAAGTTGGGGTGTTGTGCTTTGACTGACTGCTCTCTTTTCTGTTGGCTGTAATTTGGTTGGTTAAAGAATATTCCACCATCACAGTTAAGAAAGGGACTTCAGGATTATGAAATGTCAATGTGACAGACAAGTAGATATGGGTCCCTGGGACCCTAGGAAGTCTCTGGGGGCTAACGTCCCTAGAAGGGTCTCTAGGGGTGTGGATGATGCCTAAGTGTCCTTTGAGATGCCGTCGGGGTTCTGGGATGGTCCCCTTCTGCTTCCTTGGAATGGTCCTGTTGTTCTCTTAATGGGGAAGGTTGGGCGTTTTTGCGCCCTGGAGGTCCTGGGGGGCCTGCATTTACATGGAGGGGTTTCAGTGCCCACTGCCCCTGGAACGGTTTCTGGATGGTCGCTGGAGGCTGACTGCCTCTGGGTGGGTCACCTGCTGGCTCCTTTGCTCTGATCAGGTTCCTGGTTTTCTTCTGCTTCCTAGAATGCACTGGGTATTGCCATGGTGCCTTGGGGAGCACCGTCACCACTGGTTTGGCGTGAGGCGTCGCAGCACCTTGGGAGGGTTCTGATTGTCCTCCCTGGGATAGACCTGGGGGCGCCAGGCCTGTGGGACCCATGGGTGCAGTGGTTTATGCTCAATTTATTACTCTGGGGAGATGGCGTTAATGTTACGCCGTCCTCATTTCACCAGTATCATCGCATTCTGAAAGAGGTAACGGAGAATAATATTAACAGGAAGCATAAGTTGAGGTGTTTTTGCTTTGGTTATTTCTTTCTTCTCCTATTGGATGTAATTTTGGCGGGATAAAAGTCCACCAATCATAGTTAAGTGAGGAACTGGGAAGTGTGTAATGTTTGAATGTGAACAACAAACGGATAATGTCATAGGCCCTGGGACTCTAGGAGGTCTCTGGGACCAATAAAATCCTGGAAGGTCTATACAGGGGTGTGTTTGCCCTAAGGGTGTGCTTTGGTGCTGCCGTCTCTGGGAGGGTCTCTGGGATGTCCCGAAGAGCTCTGATGCTACTGGGAATGGTCCTGTGCGTTTCTCTTTATTGGGGAGGTTAGATGCACCCTGCCCTGGGAGGTTCCTGGGGGGCACCGACTGGCAGGGTTTCCAGTGCACCACTGCCCTGTCGGTTTCTGGGATGGTCGCTGGGCTGCGCTTTCATGGTGGGTCCTGCAGGCTCCGCTGCTCCAGTCAGGGTTTCTGGGGTTGCATCGCTCTAAAATTACTGGGTGCTGCTTACTGATGTTGCGGGGCCTGGTGCAGTATTAGCACTGAGGAGCTGTGGGGCGTCGAGGCACCTGGGGGTTCCTCGATGTCCACCTGGGGCAGTCCTGGGGCGCTTGGCCTGTGGGACATATGGGTGCAGTAGTTTATGCTCGGTTTTTCTCTGGGAGATTGCATAAAATAAATACACCGCCCGTCTGTTTCACCAGTATCATCGCATTTGAAGAGGTAACGGTGAATAATATCAACGGGAAAACATAAGTTGAGGTTTTGTGTGACTGACTGCTCTTCTCTAATGCCTGTAATTTGTCGGGTTAAAGTCCACCAATCATAGTTAATATGGGACTTCAGGGAGTGTGTAATGTGCGGAAATATGATTTAACAACAGTGTGGGGTCCCTAGGATCCTAGGAATCTCTAGAGGACTAACGTTCCTGGAAAGGTCTCTGGGGTGTGGATGCTGGGGTGTCCTTTGAGGTGCCTTCTGAGGGATGTTCCTGGAGCTCTGCTGACACTGAATGGTCCATTGGCACTCCTCTTCCAATGGGGTGGTTCTGGGTCACCACCGCCCTTGGGAGGGGTCCTGGGGGCGCCACGGGACCTGGGAGGTTTCCAGTGCACCTGCTACTGGAACGGTTTTGGGATGGTCCTGGGGTTGTGCTGCTGGGAAGGTCCCTACTGGCCACTGCTCGCCAGTCAGGGTCCTGGTGGCCGTTGTTCCTGAGAATGCCTGGGATACCGCTGTTGTTGCGAGGCTCCTGGGGGCACAGTCACCTTTGGGGGGGGACCCTCCTAGGGGACGTCGCGGGACCTGGGAGGGTTCCTGAGATGTCCACCACCCCTAGGAAGGCCCCTGGGAGCGCCAGGCTGTAGGACCCATGGGTGCAGTAGTTTATGCTCAATTTGTTACTCTGGGAGATGCAACATTAAATAAATACACCGCCCTTGACATTTCGAACCAGTATCTTCACATTCTGAAGAAGGAAACGGCAAATAATATCAACAGGAAAACATAAGTTGGGGTGTTGTGCTGACTGACTCCTCTCTTCTCCTATTGGCTGTAATTTCGTGGGTTAAAAGAATATTCCACCAATCACAGTTAAGTAAGGGACTTCGGGATGTATGTAATGTACGAAAATATGACACAACAAACAAGCATGCCATTCGCCCCGTGGGACTCCTGGAAAGTTCTCTGGGGGCACTAACGTCCCTGGAAACGTCTCTGGGGATGTGGATACCCCTGGGAGTGTCGTTTGAGGTGCCGCCGTCTCCGGGATGGTCCCTGCAGGCTCTGCTGCCCCTGGAATGGTCCCTGGGCACTCCTCTTCCAATAAGAGTGACTCCAGGCGCACCACCGCCCCTGGAAGGGTCCCTGGGGGCGCCACCGACCCTGGGAGGGTATCCAGTGTGCCAATGCCCCTAGAACAGTTTCTGGGATGGTCTCTAGGGACTGTGCTGCCCCTGGGTAGGTCCCTGCAGGCTCTGCTGCTCCAGTTAGGGTCCCTGGGGTGCCGTCGCTCCTGAGAATGCACCTGACGATGCCGCTGTTGTTGCGAGGGCCCCTGGGGGCACCGTCACCACTGGGGGGCACCCTGGAGGCGTCGCGGCACCTGGGAGGGTTCCTGAGATGTCCACCACCCCTCCGAAGGCCCCTGGTAGCGCCAGGCCTGTAGGACCCATGGGTGCAGTAGTTTATGCTCAATTTATTACTCTAGAAGATGCAACATTAAATAAATACACCGCCCTTGACATTTCCACCAGTATCTTCACATTCTGAAGAAGGAAACGGCAAATAATATCAACAGGAAAACATAAGTTGGGGTGTTGTGCTGACTGACTGCTATCTTCTCCTATTGGCTGTAATTTGGTGGGTTAAAAGAATATTCCACCAATCACAGTTAAGTAAGGGTCTTTGGGAAATATGTAATGTACGAAAATATGACACTACAAACAAGCATGCCATAGGGCCCCCTGGGACACCTAGGAAGGTCTCTCGGGGCACTAACATCCCTGGAAAATTTCTGGGGGGTGTGGATTCCCCTGGGAGTGTGCTTTGAGATGCCGCCGTCCCTGGGAAGGTCTCTGGGATGGTCCCTGGAGGCTCAACTGCCCCTGGAATGGTCCCTGGGCATTTCTCTTCCAATGAGAGGGACCCCAGGTACACCATCGCCCCTGGAAGGGTCCCTGGGGGCGCCACCGACCCTGGGAGGGTTTCCAGTGCGCCACTGCCCCTGGAACATTTTCTGGGATTTTCCCTGGGGGCTGTGCTGCCCCTGGGTAGGTCCCTGCAGGCTCCACTGCTCCATTCAGGGTCTCTAGGGTGCCGTCGCTCCTGAGAATGCACCTGAGGATGTCGCTGTTCTTGCGAGGGCCCATGGGGGCACCGTCACCACTGGCGGGCACCCTGGGGCCGTAGCGGCATCTGGGAGGGTTCCTGAGATGTCCACCACCCCTGGGATGGCCCCTGGGAGAGCCAGGCCTGTAGGACCCATGGGTGCAGTAGTTTATGCTCAATTTATTACTCTGGGAGATGCAACGTTAAATAAATACTCCGCCCATCACATTTCCACCAGTATCATCACATTCTAAAGAAGGTAACGGCGAATAATATCAACAGGAAAACATAAGTTGGGGTGTTTTGCTGACTGACTGCTCTCTTCTCCTTTTGGCTATATTTTGGTGGGTTAAAAGAATATTCCATCAATCACAGTTAAGTAAGGGATTGCTGGACTCATGCAATATGTACGATACCACGATCAAGCCCCTGGCGGTGCCGCTGCCCCGGGGGGAGTCGCTGGGGACGCCGCCGCCTTTATGAGGACCTCTGGGGACGCCACAGCAATTGGAAAGGCTAATGTGGGCGCCATTGCACCTAGAAATGACCCTGGGGTTGCCGCCGACCTTTGGAGGGGCCCTGGGGTCGCAAACGCCCCTGGGAGGGCCCCTAAGGTCGCCTCCATCCTTGGTACGCCTCCTTAATGGCACTGCCACCTTTGAGAGAGCCCCCTATTGCTGTGGTCGCCGCTGTCAGTACCCCTATGGGCGGAGTTGCATATGGGAAGGGCCCTGGTAGCGCCTACGCCCTTGGAAGGAGCTTTGGGGACGCCACTGCCCCGTCGATGGTCCCTGGAGGCCCTTTATGGTGCCACGGCCCCAAGGAGGCTCGCAAGGGGCACAACCGACCATGGCAGGGTCATGGGGTCGCGGCCACGCCAAAAGAGGGTCCCTGGGGACGTCGCCGCCCTTGGCAAGTCGACGCCCCTGAAAGGGCCCCTGAGGGTCACCGCCACACATAAGTAGGTCCCCAGGGGGCGTCACAGCCCTTGGATCCCCCCTTTGGGTGCCTTCACCCTGTCAGGTCCACTAGGGGCGCCTCTGCATCTGGATGTCCCCTGGAAACGCCACCGGCCTTGGGAGGGCCTCTAAGAGGGCCACTAGGAGCGCCACCTTCCCTGGGGAGGCTTTGGAGGCGCCACCGCCTATGGAAAGGGACTTGTGGGTGCCACAGCCCCAGGGGTCTCTGTCGACTTTGGGAGGGCCCCTGGCGGCGCTGCTGCCTCTTGGGGGCTCCGGGTAACGCCGCCACCCCTGGGAGGGCCCCTGGGGGTGGGGACGCCCTTAGAAAGCCCATGAGGGCCCTCCAAGGGGTGGCGCTGACCCCCAGAGGCCCACCCAATGGCGGTGCCGTCCCCAAGGGCTCTCCCAGGGTCGTTCCGGGCCCTCCAAAAGGCTGCGGTGCCTTAAGAAAGCCCTGCCAAGAGCTGGGGTGCCCCCAATGTTCCTTCCAGGGGTGGTGGCACTCGTAGAGGCCCTCCCAGGGCGACGGTGTGCCCACGGGACCTCCCAAGGGCCGCGACGTCCGTAGGTGCCAGCTCATGGGCGGCTGTGCCCCCAAAAACCCTCGCAAGAGGAGTGGCAACCTTGGGGACCTGCCAGGGGCGGCGTCTCCTCAAGGAGCCCTCTGAAGCGCTACTGCACCCCCAGGGACCTTCCCAGTGTTGGCAGCGTAGCCCGGAGCCCTCCCATGGGAGCAGCGTCCCTAGGGGCCCTCCTAAATGAGGTGGAGCCCCCAGGGGCCCTGCCAGGTGCTGTGGCATCACCAGGGCCCTTTCCATGGGCTGCGGCGCCCCCAAATCTTTCCTAGTGGGCCGCGGCGCCCAGGGGCCCTCCTAGGGGCCATCCCAAGAGCGGTGGCGGCCCCAGGGGCCTTTCTAGATGCAGAGGCGCCCTAGTGGAAATGAAAGGGCGGCGGCGCCCTGGGCATCCCAGGACCGGGAACGACCCCTGGGGCCTTCCCTATGGGTGACGGCAACCCCTAGGGTCCCTTTCACGGGCGTCGGTGCTCCTAAGGGGCCCTCCCATGGGAGTCAAAGACCCCAGGGGCCCTCTTTAGGCGACGGCGCCTCCAGGGACATTTCCAGGGCATGGGGCCCCCAGTAGCCCTTCCAGAGGCGGTAGCATCCCCAGGGGCTCTCCAGGGCAGCAGCGCCTGGAAGCTGGAACGTGGTATCGTTGCATGCTTCCGCATCCGCCTTGCACTGCGATTGGAGGACTAAAATGTGTAATCCACCAAATTACAGCCAATAGGAGGATGAGCAATCAGTTAGCATAGCAACCATAGTTTTCCTGTTGGATATTTATTTTCCGTTTTCATTGTTCAGGATGATGGGCGGTGTGTGTTATTAACGTCATGTCTCCCAGAGTTCTAAATAGTCAAAAACAACTACAACTCTGGGTCTCAAGGCGCTTTGGGGTTCCTCTCAGGGGTGGCAGGGGCTCGGCATCTCACTGGAAGATGCCGGCTCGGTGCCCTCCCAGGTCGGCAGAGCCTTCAAAAAGCTGCGGCGCCTGAGCCTGCCAAGAGCGGGATGACCTGCAATGGTTTTCCAGGGATGGTGGCGCCCTTGAGGCCCTCCCAGGGCGACGGTGTGCCCAGGTGCCGTCCCCGGGGCCACACTGCCTCCTTACGGGCGGCAGTCCCAGGGAACCTCCCAAGGCCCCCGACGTCCCTAGGTGCCCGCCCAGGGGTGGCTGTGCCCCCAAAGACCATCCATGACAGTGTTGACCCTGGGGCCCTGTCAGGAGCAGTCTCCCCAAGGGCCCTCCTAGAGGCCACACCCCAAGGGCCCTCCAGGGCGTGGCACCAGACAGGGCCTCCTTGGGTCAGGGGCCCCCGGGAAACCTTGGTGCACAAGGGCCTCCAGGGCGTCTATGGACCCTCCCAAGGTGATGTCTGTGGTGTGGTGGTGTCAGTGTCTGGTGCTGTGTGGTGTCTGGTAGTGTGGTAGTGTCTGGTGATGGCTGGTGATATCGGTGATGTCAGCATCAGTGGTATGTCTGGTGGTGTCTGGTGATGTCTGGTAGTGTCTGGTGGGTATGGTGTCTGATGATGTCTGATGATCTTGAGGTATGGTGTCTGATGATGTCTGGTGTCTGGTGATGTCTGGTGATGTCTGGGTGTCTGGTGATGTCTGGTAGTGTCTGGTGATGTCTGGTGGTGTCTGGTGATGTCTGGTGGTGTCTGGTGGTGTCTGGTGATGTGGTGGTGTCTGGTACTGGTGTCTGGTGATCTGGTAGTGTCTGGTGGTGTCTGGTAATGTCTGGTGAGTGTCTGGTGATGTTTGGTAGTGTCTGGTGATGTCTGTGATGTCTGGTATCCTGGTGATGTCTGGTAGTGTCTGGTGATGTCTGGTGGTCTGGTGATGTCTGTTTAGTGTCTGTTATGTCTGGTAGTGTGTGATGTCTGGTAGTGTCTGGTGATGTCTGGTGTCTGGTGATGTCTGGTGGTGTCTGGTGATGTTCTGGTGATGTCTGGTGAGTGTCTGGAGTGTCATGTCTGGTGGTGTGTCTGGTGATGTCTGGTGTCTGGTGTCTGGTGATGTCTGGGTGTCAAGGTGTCTGGAGTGTCTGGTGGAAATATCTGGTCTGAGTGATGTCTGGTGAGTGTCTGGTGTCTGCTGATGTCTGGTGATGTCTGGTGATGTCTGGTGGTGTCTGGTGATATCTGTGTAGTGTCTGGTGATGTCTGGTGTCTGGTAGTGTCTGGTAATGTCTGTTTAGTGTCTGCTAGAGTCTGGTAGTGTCTGGTGATCTGGTAGTGTCTGGTGATGTCTGTGAGGTGCTGGTGATGTCTGGGTGATGTCTGGTAGTGTCTGGTGATGTCTGAAGATGTCTGTTGATGTCTGGTAGTGTCTGTGATTATCTGGTAGTGTCTGGTGATGTCTGGTGAGTCTGTAGTATCTGGTGATATCAAGATGTCTGGTGATCTGGTGATATCTGGTAGTCTGGTGATGTCTGGTAATATCTGAGTGTCGGTGATGTTTGGAGTGTCTGGTGGTGTCTGTGTGTGTGATGTCTGGTAGTGTCTGGTGATGTCTGGTGTGTCTGGTGATGTCTGGTGATGTCTGCGGGTGGTACTGGTATTTGGTGGTATGTGATGTGGTCTGGTGTCTGGTGATGTCTGGTGGTGTCTGGTATCTGGTAGAGCCTGGGGTGTCTGGTAGAGTCTGGTGGTGTCTGGTGATGTCTAGTGATGTTTGAAGATGTCTGGTGTATCGTGTGATGTTTGGAGATGTCTGGTGATGTTGTGGTGATGTCTGGTAGTGTCTGGTGGTTCTGGTGATGTCTGGTAGTGTCTGGTGATGTCTGGTGTTGTCTGGTAGTGTCTGAGGTCTGGTGATGTCTGGTATCTGGTGTCTGGTGATGTCTGGTGTCTATCTGGTCTGGTGATGTCTGGTGAGTGTCTGGTGAGTGTCTGGTATCAGGTAGTGTCTGGTGATATCTGGTGAGTGTCTGGTAGTTTCTGGTGATGTCGTGATGTCTGAGAGTCTGGTATGGTGATGTCTGTGAGTGGCTGGTGGTCTCTAGTGGTGTCTGGTGATGTCTGGTGGTGTCTAGTAGTGTCTGAGTGATGTCTGGTAGTGTCTTTTGCTGTCTGGTGATGTTTGAAGATGTCTGGTGATGTCTGAAGATGTCTGGTGATGTCCTGGTAGTGTCTGGTGATGTCTGGTAGTGTCTGGTAGTGTCTGGTAATGTCTGGTAGTGTCTGGTGATGTCTGGTGATGTCTGAAGATGTCTGGTGATGTCTTGGTAATGTCTGGTGATGTCTGGTGTGTCTGGTGATGTCTGGTGATGTCTGAAGATGTCTTTTGATATCTGGCAGTGTCTGGTGATGTCTGGTAGTGTCTGGTGATGTCTGGTAGTGTCTGGTGATGTCTGGTAGTGTCTGGTGATGTCTGGTAGTGTCTGGTGATGTCTGGTGATGTCTGGTAGTGTCTGGCGATGTTTAGTAGCCTCTCTCTCTCTCTCTCTCTCTCTCTCTCTCTCTCTCTCTCTCTCCAAAAGTGATCAGGTATGGTAAATAAACTGGGTCACAG